TCCTCCGCCTTCGCCTTCGCCTCCTCCTCCTCCTCCTCCTCCTTCGCCTTCTCCTCCTCCTCCTCCTCCTTTGCGTTCTCCTCCTCGTTCGCGTTCGCCTTCGCTTCCTCCTCGACGTCCTTCTCCTCACCCTGCGCCTTTTCCTCGTCTGCCTGCGCATCGGGGGACTTGCTGATCTTCGTCAGGGTCCCCCCGAATAGCTCCTTTTTGGCCTCCAGGGCTTCCGCCTCCTGGAAGAGCGCCCCCTGCTGCGGGCCCCAAGCCTGCGCCAAGCCTGACTCGGCCCATCCGCGGCACAGCTCCTGCCCAGAAGGACGACGAGGAAAACGAGGAGGACGACGAGGACAACGAGGGAGTGGGAGATGGAGGAGGGGGAGGAGGACAGCGAGGAAAACAGGGACGAGGGGCAGGCATACCCACTTTCGATCGATTGTTTTGTTGATGTGTGCGCGTTTCGTTTCGCTCGAGGGCCTGGCGGGTGAAGGGCCACGAACTCGCAGAGGGGGGCCGGGTGATTCGGGAAAGATGCGCTGCCTTGTCTTTCTTAAAGATCTGCTCGAAGGCAGTAGACAGAAAATGGCAGAAGGGAGTCTTCAAGGCAACGAGGTTCAGGTCGATCGTCACAGAGGTGCTCGGGACACTCTGGTCAGCAAGCTTCAAGGCAACTTGACCCGCGAACTACTCCGTGGCCGCAGTGCTGATGAGGTTCTTGAACTGGGCGTTGACGGCAACGTCCACAGGTTGCAAGAAAGGGGTGTAATTTGCCGGAACGAACAGCAGGATGAGTTGCGGAAGCGTCTGCTTCACCCAATCCAGAAATCCAGCGTCACGGTGCGAAGAGTAGACGTCGAGGATGAGCACCATGCGTTGCCCAAGTGGCAAGCCGTTCTTCTCCACCATAGGCGTGTAGTATGTCTCCATGAGATGGGTGACGAATTCCTTCATGGTTTGCACTGTGCTCCAGTGGCTCTCAGAATGGGCGTGGAAGATATGTTTTTTCGAACTGCTTCTGCGTCTGGGAGGTCGGCTCGCACTGCTTCGTTTTCCCTCCTCAGATCACTTGGCACGGCCTGATGAGCTCGCCTGCGGCTGAAATCCGCCGACCCTGTCGGCGTGTGGAATGGGCTGTTCCGTTCGTCGTCGTCGCCGTCGCCGCCAAGCGAGCCAGCCAAATCGACGTGCCCTAACCCAACCAAAGCAACATTGAGGAACGTCGTCATCGTCGTCGTCGTAGTCGTCGTTCAGGGTCGGCGGCGCTCGCCGTAAGGCCTTTCGAATCGTCGGTATGACCGTGTATTGCCGCTTGTCACCAGCCCCATGGAAGACCGTCTGCTGCCCCTTCCCGCTGGGTGCCCAACCCCGAGGCTTCAAAGGGAGTTAAAAGACACCTGTTTCGTCCATGTTCACCACAAGCTCTCGTGGGATGGAGTGGGAAACGACGATATAGACCAGACGCAAGAGGAACAGATGAGCCGTAGCCTTCAGGTCCAGCTCGTTCGGTTGATGCTTCTTGGTGCGAGTCGGCCGCTTGTAAGACATCTTCAGAACTACTTTGCAAAATCGCTGCACCCACCTGTCCGTGATGCTGACCTTCCCATCGTGGCCTTTCTTTTCGTTCCCTTTTGTTTCGGTCACCACCTGGGAGCGCATTTGCTGATCGACCGCGCGGCGGAGGAGGACGAGGAGGATGTACCGGAGGCGGGGAGGGGGATGTGTCAAAGCATGCGCTCTCAAGCGTGGGAAGAGCTCCGCGGGCGAAAGGGGCAGAGGATTTATTAACACGCTCCGGCGCTGACGCCCAGAGCGGTCGCACAGCAAATACGCTCCCAGGTGGTGACCGAAACGAAAGGGAACGAAAAGAAAGGCCACGATGGGAAGGTCAGCATCACGGACAGGTGGGTGCAGCGATTCTGCAAAGTAGTTCTGAAGATGTCCTACAAGCGGCCGACTCGCACCAAGAAGCATCAACCGAACGAGGTGGACCTGAAGGCTACAGCTCATCTGTTCCTCTTGCGTCTGGTCTATATCATCGTTTCCCACTCCATCCCGCGAGAGCTTGTGGTGAACATGGACGAAACAGGTGTCTTTTTACTCCCTTTGAAGCCTCGGGGTTGGGCACCCAGCGGGAAGGGGCAGCAGACGGTCTTCCACGGGGCTGGAGACAAGCGGCAATACACGGTCATACCGACGATTCGAAAGGCCTTACGGCGAGCGCCGCCGACCCTGAATGACGACGATTACGACGACGACGATGAGGACGTTGCTCCGTTTCGCTTTGGCTGGGTTGGTGCATTTCGATTTGGCTCACTCGCTTGGCGGCGACGGCGACGACGACGACGACGACGACGAACGGAACAGCCCATTCCACACGCCGACAGGGTCGGCGGATTTCAGCCGCAGGCGAGCTCATCAGGCCGCGCCAAGTGATCTGGGGAGGGAAAACGAAGCAGTGCGAGCCGACCTCCCAGACGCAGAAGCAGTTCGAAAAACATATCTTCCACGCCCATTCTGAGAGCCACTGGAGCACAGTGCAAACCATGAAGGAATTCGTCACCCATCTCATGGAGACATACTACACGCCTATGGTGGAGAAGAACGGCTTGCCACTTGGGCAACGCATGGTGCTCATCCTCGACGTCTACTCTTCGCACCGTGACGCTGGATTTCTGGATTGGGTGAAGCAGACGCTTCCGCAACTCATCCTGCTGTTCGTTCCGGCAAACTATACCCCTTTCTTGCAGCCTCTGGACGTTGCCGTTAACGCCCAGTTCAAGAACCTCATCAGCACTGCGGCCACGGAGTGGTTCGCGGGTCAAGTTGCCTTGAAGCTTGCTGACCAGAGTGTCCCGAGCACCTCTGTGACGATCGACCTGAACCTCGTTGCCTTGAAGACTCCCTTCTGCCATTTTCTGTCTACTGCCTTCGAGCAGATCTCTAAGAAAGACAAGGCAGCGCATCTTTCCCGAATCACCCGGCCCCCCCCTGCGAGTTCGTGGCCCTTCACCCGCCAGGCCCTCGAGCGAAACGAAACGCGCACACATCAACAAAACAATCGATCGAAAGTGGGTATGCCTGCCCCTCGTCCCTGTTTTCCTCGCTGTCCTCCTCCCCCTCCTCCATCTCCCACTCCCTCGTTGTCCTCGTCGTCCTCCTCGTTTTCCTCGTCGTCCTTCTGGGCAGGAGCTGTGCCGCGGATGGGCCGAGTCAGGCTTGGCGCAGGCTTGGGGCCCGCAGCAGGGGGCGCTCTTCCAGGAGGCGGAAGCCCTGGAGGCCAAAAAGGAGCTATTCGGGGGAACCCTGACGAAGATCAGCAAGTCCCCCGATGCGCAGGCAGACGAGGAAAAGGCGCAGGGTGAGGAGAAGGACATCGAGGAAAAAGCGAAGGCGAACGCGAACGAGGAGGAGAACGCAAAGGAGGAGGAGGAGGAGGAGAAGGCGAAGGCGGAGCAGACGGCGAAGAAGGAGGTGGAGAAGGCGAAACAAATTGACGAGACGATGGAGGAGGATGGAGGGAAGGCGAAAGGGGATGACAAAGCGAAGGGAGAGGATAAGGCGAAGGAGGATAATGCGAAGGATGATGAAGAGGATGAGGGGATGGCGAAAGGGGAACAGAAGGCCAAAGAGGAGAAGGCGAAGGGGAAGGACAAAGCGAAGGAGAAGGCGAAATCCAAGGCGCTGCAGCCTGACGGCTGCAAAGGAGGTGGCAATTACTTGTACGGTTGCCCCAGGTGCCGCTGGTCCGGAGGAGGGTGCTTGGTGTGCAACCCTTACAAAACATTGCGCTACCAAGAAAGGAAAGCTGCTGAGGCGAAAGCCGCAGCGGAAGCAGCTGACGAGGAACTTGGACTGGGCGCAGCGTGGGAGGCCGAGGAGGCAGCGGAAATGGAGCCAGCAGGCGAGGCAGACCACGAAGTGGAGGGCGGTGAAGATGCGCAGGCGGCCATGGGTAGTCTCGACAAGAGTACTCAACACATTCTGGAGAAGGCGTTCGGCATCTGAGAGCCGAAAGGTTGATGACAAGCCTGAGCGGAGTGGCGCTTAGTGGCAAATTAGGGTCAGAGTCTGGACCGAACATTGTGCGAGCACTAGTGCGATGCGTTTTCAGACGAGTTTTGAATCTTGTATCGGACCTACGTCGAAGCATAGCCCTGGCGACAGGGCGCAGTGAAAAGAGCTCACTGGTGCATTTGCGTACACGTAGACATACCATACACACATCAGTGCACAGATCCAGATACGCGCACAGGCACAACATTAGACACAGAACACACACGCTACACCTATTCATGCTGCCAACATTAGGATTATCATGTTCAGTCTCACTCGTGCGTGCCTGTCTGCTCCTGCCCCCTCTTCTCTTCCCTCCTTTGTTCCTCCTCCCCTCCCACTTCTTTTCTCTCTAGTGCGTTGGATTCATCGTTGTGGCCGTTTGGGCAGTCCGCCAACACCTTCTGCGGAACTTCCCATCCAGCCGCGGGCGGGAGACGTTTCATCAGGCCGACTTCGTATCATGCGCCATTTGTTTTCCTACTTCCTCCCGTTCCTCCTCCTCCTCCTCCTCCTCCTTGTCCTCCTCCTCCTCCTCCCCCTTGTCCCCCTCCTTCCTCTCCACGTCCACCGGAATTTGTTTGGAAACGCCCAGGGCGGCACATGTTTGTTTTTTCCGGGTCGTTTTTGCGAGTGCCCAGGGTGACGCGTTTCTCTCTGTGCGCAGAATTTCGGCCACGTTCGTAGGACAACCCTGCTACTTGTGCGTGGTGTTCACGTTCGGTGTCCGTTTCTTCCTTCTCCGTCAACAAACAGCACGGAACGCGCTCTGTCATGCAGTAGTGCGTACATGCGGGGTGGCACGCATACACATACAAGCGAACGGGCCACATGCATGCAAATAATACGTACATGTCGGGTCTCGCGTGCTGCGCCCACAATTCTACATTGCATGCCCAAGCGATTTTGCTGATGCATTGCGCGGGTGCCCTCCGCATTTGCTTCGAGACCACCTTGTCCCCGAGCCCCTTCGCCACCAATGCCCCTGCCACGAGGGGAACGAGGAGCCGCGCGGTCATGGGAATTCCGGCGTTGTACTGCGATACGATGAGGGAGCCGATGAATGCCAAATGGCCGACTGGCAAGACAGTCTGGCCCAAACGCCATCCCTGCCCAGCAGCAGCGCTCCCGTTGTCAGGACGATGGCGCGTCTTTTCCCAGGCGCGAACTCGGCTCTCACAGAAGGTCTTCGGGAACAGGGAGGGGTAGTGTTTCTTGACGCAGTCGACAACTTTCGAGCGGGCCCCCCCCATGTCCTTCTCGAAACCGAAATAGAAATCAACCACCTCGGGCGGGTACAAATGATAACTCCGCTTCTTCCCGGGCTGCTTCGCGCACTCGTCGTTCACCACGCCCTGGGTGTCCCCGTCCTCCGCCTTCGGAGTGCCCCGCGGGCCTTTCTCGGGCGTCAGATCGACTTGGATTTCCCCGTTCTGCGCCTTCGGAGTGGCCTGTGGGTCTTTGTCGGGGGTCGTCGCCCTCGCCTGGTACGCCCACGCTGGGCACTTCTTATGGTCCCAGTCCGAGGGGAACGGCAGCGGCGGGGGCGCCGAGGGCTTGGGGAGCTCGCCCTTCACAACTCCCGCGTGCCACTGGTAAAGACTATCCTGCCATTTTTGGGCTCTGGGGATCGGCCCCCCCTTGCGCGGTGGCCCCGTTGGCTGCGGCCTGGGCCACTCGAGGCCCCACTCCTCGGGGAGCTGTCGCTGGGCCTCGGCTGTCGCGTCGGCCTGCCGCTTGAAAGCGTCGACATCCTCAGGGGTGGGGGCTGCGTTTTCATGTTCCCTAGTGTGCCCCCCCTCTTGCAGGGGTGCACCTTCCTAGGTAAAGTGCGCGCTGCACGCGTGCAGTGTCGGATGTAACAACAAATTGTATTGCGTGTCCCCCGCCCTCCTCGAGATCCTTTGCTCTTTTCTCTTCAGGGGTCAGTGGGATACAGTTCAACACCTTCTGTTTTTTCTCGGGGGTGGCGCCAGGGGGCTCCCCGAACATGGCTGCGAGCGCCTTGCGACGAACAGCGTAGGAGGAAGCCGACATGCTGTCGGCGGTCTGTTGGGGCCGTTGCAAAAAGGAATGCAGGTCCACCACCTGGGATGCGACGAGCTCTTGAGCCTGGAGCTCGCGAACGTACCAATATTCTATCTCAATCGTGCGATACGCCGGTATATCCAAGGTTCCCCAAACAATGTTTGCACCCAGGGTTTCTTATTTGTTTTCTAGGGTCTAGGGGGGTGGGCCTGGGAGCGTAACTACCGGCTCTGTTGTCCCCGTCGCCGCTTCGTCGCCGCCTGTCGTTTGGGCGTGGGTGCTGGTCTGGCGGTGCGCCGTCGCCGCCCCGTCGCTGCCTCTTCGCCACCCGAGATGTACCGCGTAGATTGCACAACATATATTGCACCACATAGATAACACCACATAGATTGCACTACGTAGCTTGCACCACATATATTGCACCATATGGACAGCATCGCAGCTATTGCACCACATGTTTTGCACCACGCAGCTCCCACCACAAACTTTACACCACATAGGTTGCGCCACATCAATATGGGCGCATACATCGCACCACGCATCTTGCACCACATAGGTTGCGCTACATATATTGAACCACATACATCGCACCACATGTGTCGCACAACCTTGATGGCACCACATAGATTGCACCACGTAGCTCGCATCTCATATATTGCACGACATAGGTTCCCCCACGGGCATTGCTAGGAACCAAAGAACCACTATTGAAGGCCCACGCTGGGCAACAGCAGCCAGCATCATGTCATATGGTTTGGGTAAAGATGCTTCGGAGAAAAAAATTCTAATGCAATACGGATTTGACGGAGCATGAGAATGTGGTTGGACTGTTGCCACATCTTGCATACTACGTGCCTTCCGTACCGAAACCATTGAATCCCAGTGGGCGCGCGATTCATAATTCGGTGAAGGCACGGCCGCAAGGGACAAGTTCAGGCGACGGCGGGAATGACTAAGCGAAGCGCAGAAAATAATAGTTAATTGTTGGGAAAGCGAAAGCGAAAGCGAAGCTTCCCCGAAAAAGTTAATAGTTAAGAAAGCGAAATCGAAAGCGAACCGCTCGGAAAAAGTTGATAGTTTCGCTTTGAGGTGTCGCGGGAGCAAGCGCGACCGTCCGCCTGGACGGCTCGCGCAGCGCGCGCCCGTTCAGCGCCGGCTTCACGGCGCCGCGCGGGCGGGGGGGGCCCGGCCCCCGCCGCGCCGCAGCTCCCCGCGGGCTCCGCTGCGCGATGAACAAATCTGGGTCGGTGGGCGAAGCTGCCTGAAAGCGCGCGGCGCCCTCGGCCGACGGCGTGGCGGCGCCGCCCGCAGCTTGCAGCGGCCCGCCCGCCTTCTCGCGGAAGACCTCGCGCGCCGCGCCGAAATTACCTCCGACTGCCCCCGGCCGCCCCTGCGCGACCAGCTCGTTTCCGATCTTTGCGTGCGCGCGCTGCGATGCGCCCCCCAGTGCGTCGGTGGCCAGGTCGACGCCGCCCGTGGCGACCCCGTCGGTCGCGGCGATCATCCTGCGTCCGTCGCTGCACGCGACGCGGGCGACGCCGTCGGTGGAAGCGCTGGCCGGGCCCCCTTCTCTGGGCGCGGCGATCCCGACGCTTGCCGCGCCCGCCCCCCCGCCGCCCGCGCCCCCGCTGCCAGCCGCGCCTGGCGCGAGGGCCGCCTTGATGTGAACGCGCCTGCGCTGGGCCTCCTGCGCGGCGATGTCGCGCGAGTGGAGGCGCGTCTCCTGCGTCGGCCAGGCGCCGGCGCGGTTGCTCTCCGCGATGCCCGCGCCGACCGCGCCCTCTTGCCAGAGCTGCGCGAGCGGTCCCCAGTCTGATCCGCCGACCGCCATGATCTCGAATGTCTCGCGCTGCACGGCGCGGGTTCGCCGCCTCCAAGTAGCCCGCTGTGCGCCCGCGGCCGCGGCGGCGGGTGCCCGGGGCCGCGCGCGCGCGGGCGCGGCGCCGCAGGCTGGCGCGAGCTCGTCGAAGCGCAACGTCACCGCGGCGCGCGTCGTCGCCACAGCGCTGGCCCCCCACGATGACTCCGCGGCGCTCGCCTGTCTATGCACGGGCGGCGGCGATGACGCCGCGGAGCTGCTCGCGGTTGAGGCGCGGGGTAGCGCCCTCAGCATCGCTGGCGCAATCAGCCGCACCCCCAGCCAGGGCTTACTCCAGCGCAGCCTCCATCTCCTCATCCTCTAGATCGTCGATGCCCTCCGTCGCGGCCTGGGCGGGCGGTTCGGCGGTTCCGCCGCCGCCGTGGGCCGCTCGCTGTGCTGGGGATGGGCGGGGCCGGCGGCCGCGGCGGGCTGCTGGGCGCCTCCGCCGCTGGCGGCCTCGGGCCTCGGGCGCAACGGGCGCCGCCGCCTTCGCCGCGGGGCTGCTGGCAGCGGCCTGTGCAGCCGAAGTCTGGCCCCCGGCTCTGCAGTATCTGCATGGTGGCCGCGACCTCGTAGATGCTGCCAGCCACCGCCTCGCTCGCCTCAGCGGCTGTCGGCTTGGGAGCCATGCGCCCGTCGACCTGGCCGATCTCGGCGTCGATCGCGCGCGGCCGCTAGCCGGGCGGCTCGGCGGCGCGCCGGGCCTCGGTGATGGCCGCGGCCTCCTGCTTGCGCATGTCGAGGAGGCCCTGCATAGCCGCGCCCGTGCTGCCGAGGGCCCCACCTTCGAGAGGAGCGGTCGCAATTGCCCCCGTCAGTCGTCCTCCTCCGCCTCTTAGGCCCCCGACCCGCTCGATCCTGCAGCGCTTCGGGATGCCGTCCGCTGCAGTATCAGTTGGTTCTGCTTCTTGATCCCCCCCAAGTCACGCCTCAGCGCTGCCACCGAGGAATTGACCTTGCGGCGGGCCTTGCGGGAAGCGGGGCGCTGCCACACGCTCCGCGGCGGCCACTCCGCCCCGCGCGCGCGGCAGGCTGCCCACGACGCCCGAATAACCGTTGTCCCGCGCGAGCATGTCTAATTAGGGCGCTTTGCCCCCGCTTGACTGGACATTGCTCCTGCTGTCGCCACCGCCTGCTGCCATCCTCGTGCCCGCTGAAGAACCGTGGTGCCTGTCCCATAGGCCGGCGCCCGCCGCCAGCCACGCCTGGAACCGATCGCTCTCCTTGCCGGCCCACGCCGCCAGCAGCAGCCGCGCCCGCTGGCGATCGCGGCGCGCGTGCCAGGCAGTTTCGCTCACCGTTGCGCTAGTCCCAGCGCGAGAAATTCGCGCCAGCCTAGCTGGTGCACCCAAACCCTCGGACCAAAACCATGGTGATGATGACAATAATGATGATGCTGCTGATGATGATGATGACGATGATGATCCTGATGATGATGATGATGATGATGATGATGATGATGATGATCCTGATGATGATGATGATGATGATGAAGATGATGATGATGATGATGTTGATTATGATGACGATGTTGATGTTGATGTTGATGTTGATTATGATGCTGATGCTGATGCTGATGCTGATGCTGATGCTGATGCTGCTGATGCTGCTGCTGATGATGATAATAATAATAATTAAATAATAATAATAATAATATTATTAATAATAATAATAATAATAATAATAATAATAATAATAATGATGATGATGATGATGATGATGATGATGATGATGATGATGATGATGATCGAGAGTTGCCGATCGCACGAGCAATATCCCCAACGAGGGCAGAGGTGGTCCCA